GGAAAGAGGAATGGTCCTTCTGAGAAGAGAGAAGACTTTCGTTCCTGAGGCCCCAGCAAATCCCCTGGAGTGCATTAGCCTGAGCTGACAACAGAGCTGCCTCCTGAGGCGATCTCTGTGGTTAATATGGACTCTGTTAAGGGACTTAAGCCAATGGCTGTCCCACCAAGAGCTGGGGTCCCTCCCACCCTCCTAACCCAGTGGGGAAGGAGAGCAGCTAATATAAAGCACTGATGTTAATTAGGATTAGATATCCTCATTAGGTACCCTGCACTCTTAGGAATCTGCATGCCCTACTGCTCCTCCCTATGGAGGAAGTGGAAATTTGATCAGAGAGAGACAGAGAGAGAGAGAGGAAGTGAGAAAGCAAGCCACCAGGTCTGGGACTTGAACCATGGTTGGCCATGTGGGAGTCCAGCGCCTTTAACCACCATGCCACTTGCCGGCCCCAGGAAGTGGAGAATTCTAACAAGGGAAAATCCAGGAACTAGACCAGGCAGAGGGGAAGCAGAACAGAAGAAGCAACCAAATCTGTTCATTACTGGGAACAGATTTGCTAGCTTTGGCTTACAGGCTGTTGGGTCCAGTGAAAAGGCTAGTGAAGAACGAAGAGAAGAAAGAAGAGGGGGAAAGAAAATAAGAAAAGGCAATGCAAGAGTAGGAGACAAGGCATTGGTGATGATCCCAGATGCTTCCCTCCTCCAGGCTGGACAAACAGAAAATTAGGAGCCTGGAATGTGGAAGGCAGCCTGTCCGGCTACTCTCTGTGCAGCAAGCGCAATGTGAGAGCGAGGATGCACACATGTACCAGGCATGGTGCCTTTCCAGGTGATAAACAGAGCAGCTAGTGACACAGGAGGGCAGGCAGGGTCTTTCTTTATGCCTGTCCGAGGGGCAGGTTGAAGCAGAAACATGTGGGCTGCAAGGAGTTGGCTCTGGCTGCCCATTCATGCATGCAGCATCATGCTGGCCTTGGTATTGGTGGCACAGGATTTGTGAGTAATTCTCATAAGGCTGGATTCTTCACTTTCACACATTCAGATACAGCCATTTTTATTAAATTAGAATCTTCTTTTTGTAGAACATCTTTTTCAGGGACAAGCAGTTAGCGTAATGGCTATGTCCCTGGACTCCCACGTAGTCGACCACGGTTTGAGTCACAGACCTGGTGGCTTAAAACTCACACTGGGCGCATGTGCGTGCGTGCCCAAGATCCCGAGAGGAGAATGGAGAACGGAATACAGTGTGGCCATCCCCCCAGGGGGTGATTTCTCGCTTTCTGTCTCTTTGTCTCTTCTGTCTAGCGATTGCACGCACCATAGCAAAAACCTCTCAAAAAAAAAAAAAAAAAAAGAAAAGAACATCTTTTTCAGAGGGAAAAGGAATTCTAACACCTTCTAAAGAGCATTCCATATTACATATGGAATCCTTGTATTATGTGTTTATCTGTTTGGAATCCTTTGGGCTTTTATAAAATGTTGTGACTATGATAAGTTTACTAGACTACCTGCTAGTGTGATTGGCTTAGTTAAGGTCATCCTAGTCTCAATTTGTGTCAAACATCTGAAAGTCCTCTTTGTATAGTCTCTAAGATATTCAGAGACTTTGGGAACAATTTCTGGGGTGAATGGTTGGTAACCTAAGACTGGGATACAGAGCTAGGCAGCAGGCCTAGAATTCAGGGCAGAGACAGCAGCTGGGATGTTGCATCATTAGGGTCTGTAAATGCTAGGGGAAATTTACTTAAGCTGAGGAGACAGATGAAAGCAGTCTGAGTGAGAATCTGGCACTCAAGAGGGAAGGACTTTGCTCCTCCATAGTCTAATGGCCTAAGGGACTTTGAGGGTTGAAGGATTGACCTTAATTAAGGTCATGGTATTTAATAAAAAGCCCTTCCCCTTGGGTTTGGGGGGGTGTTGGTTGCTATATTATCCCCATCTCCCTTCTTCCCGAAGTATAACTCTGCTTGTAGCATTTATTGCCATCCTTGGCAAGGGCCCCAGCTTGGCCAGCTCACAGCAGTACGGGCTAGGGGTGCTTACTTCTAACCACAGTACTATCCTACTTTTTATTTAAAGAGGTTTTTTTTGTTTGTTTGTTTTTAAGTTTGTTTATTTCTTTTGTGAAAGAGGGCATGCATCTGAGAGAGGGGAGAGAGAGAAGGGGATGGGCATTCTTGTTAGAGTCTTGTCATGCCACTATCCCCTTCTTCTAGCCCTCCAGCTAGTCTGGATCTTGTGTGCATGCATGCCAAGTGTGTTCAGGTCAACTCAGGGTCCAAACTCATGGTCAGCCAAGTGGCTTCCAGTATTGCAGATCAGTAAGCTACTGCCTGCAGCAAAGTGGTTGGTCCTAAGGAAGTTTTGTGAATGTTATTTGGGCAGGGAAGATAACAAAGTTGTTTCCATTGTTTAGATTCTAGACACCATCGTTTCTCATGGTGTTCAGGTTCCCAGACACAGTCTCCTTGGCACTACAGAATGTGCTCAAGCTGCCACATCTCACCTCCCTACAGTTTCCCGCCCTACACCAGAAATATTGTCCAGTGTGCATGGCCTGGATAAGGAATATGTACCAGCTTTGGCCTTTTGTGTTTCCAAAAAAGACTTGTCTCAAGTTTACAACTAAGCAATGAAAAGGCGTTGACCCTCTACAAGCAACACTGGGAATGTGTGTATCTACCTTGGGTCTTTCTATCTTGGCTCCCTAGAGTCTCCTGTGACACAGAGACTATCATCCATCTTCTTGTGCTTGATATGGTGTTCCTTAAATACAGGAAACAAGACCCTGGATGAGAAGGGCTCAAGGATTACAGTTGTCCCAGACTTCTCTCCGAGGTGCTTCTCTAACTGCCCTGCTTCCATTGCTTTCATCATTGCTGGCTTCTCTTAGTCTCTGAG